ATATCCAAAGTTCAACCCAACATAACAACTGTGAATGTCCCCAGATTGAAGTGGTAGAAAAATGTAGGTATTTAGGTTTAATAATCGATGACCATATGAAATGGAGTTATCACTTTGAATCTCTACGTGAGAAGCTACGAGCAATCTTAGCAAAATTTTACCTCATTAAGACTAAAGTACCTTACGTACTTAAGTTACTATATAAAGCACTCGGCGAATCAATAGTTTCGTAGTGGTTAAGCAGTTATGGACGCAGGTATAAAACCCACATTGAAAAAATATATGAGCTACAATTGCGCATTCTAAATTAAAAAAAATCCTTATGGTCTTTTTCATCATTGCAATATACTACCAGTACTCGACAAAGTGAAATACTAACTACTGCTTGAAATCTATATAAAGCTTACACGACAAGCCCTTAATCCATATATGACTATACCAAAATATAAAAATATGTATGGAAGATTTTGGGTTACAATATCTAGTTCCTGCTCTTTTGAACCAAATTCCAAAAGCAGTAAAAATTATTTAACTATAAAAAAATATTAAATATAGGCTTAAACAGTATTTTATAGACAAATTGATAACGACACCTACTAATAATTTATACTAATAATTTATACCAAAAAAAAACTATATCTACTGACACACATAATATACATAAATACAAATCTACTCATAAATTTATACATAAATACACACAATCGTAACATTATTATCTCAATTACTAATATTATTTATGATACTCACTATTCTATGCTGTGGTACACATATTGATGGGGACAGTGCCCTGTACACCTTGTGATAGTGAGTACTGCCTGCCCTGATGAGAATAAATTAAAGTTGGACTGTACTGAATTAGTTTTATTCGTACTACAGAGGTAACCCGACAATGTAACCGCGCGATCGTTAACTTAAACTGAGTCCAACTGAGTCGTTCTGTGTGACCGGCGAACCGCTACCGTATCCTCCGTACCACTCCCCCCTCCTGCCGTTGCTAAAACTACGTGACGCATGTTCATGCAGTGATTTCTCGCACAACCTTGTCTTCCCCGGCGTTAAAGAGACATCTTCAATGTTTGAATGTCGGCAAGGGGCATATTGTGTTGAAGGCTCGCCTGATTATTCCCTTCCTAGTACGGATGTCAGCGACTCTGGCAACTCCATCCCTTCTAGGCAGCACTCGAAGGACACTCCCAAGTAGCCACATGATGGGTGGATTGGACTTGTCATTTATGATGACAAGTGTCCCTTCCTTAAGTGTATCATGTGACTGCATCCATTTTGTCTTCTGATGAAGTAAAGTATATCACTTTACGTTATCAGAAGACACTCGTTAGAAAATCGGTTACAGAAATGTTGTTTCAATAGTTGGATTCTGTGAAATCTTGCGAGGGATGATATTTTTTTGGTGCTGATCTGTGATTTTGGTGCAAAAATGAGAGACCGTCCAATAAGGAGATGGGCTGGAGTCAAAGGATAAAGATCCGAGGGGTCATTAGATAAAGGAGTGAGTTGGCGGAAATTTAATATGGCTTCTATTTGAATTAATAAACTGTTCATTTCTTCGTAATCTAGGAATGTCAGATTTAAAACAAGTCGGAGGTTGTGTTTTGTAGATTTAACAGCCGACTCCCACAAGCCGCCAAAATGAGGTGTATGTGCGGGAATAAAAGTGAAATTAATACCTTGCTCAGTCATGTCTTCAGGTGAAAGCTGTTTAAGAAGTCGAGATAACTCACGAAATATACCTATAAATGTCGTTCCATTATCAGAATAGATGGTTCGCGGTTTACCTCTACGAGACGTAAATCTATTCAGAGCTGCTATAAAGGCTTTCTTCGTCAGGTCTGAAATAAGCTCAAGATGCAAGGCCTTTGTTGCCAAACAAACAAACACACAAATATAAGATTTTATATGCTTACATCCCCTTCCCTTGTGGTTGGCTATCATCACTGGCCCAGCATAATCTACACCCGTGTCAAGAAAAGGAAATTCTAAATGGGCACGCTGTTTAGGTAAATTACCCATAACAGGTTGAAGTGTTTTTTCCTTAAGCCTACAACATTTCACACATGATCGGACAGTACGTTTAGCTAGATTTGTACCTCCTAAAACCCAATAATTGTGTCTTACTGTGGCCAGAAATAGTTGAGGACCCGAATGTAAATACTTAATGTGTAGCATTACAAATAGAGATCGGCATAAAGGATGCTTGGCACTCAATAAAATAGGATGTTTGATGTTTTAGTCATAATAGGTATTAGAAAATCTCCCACCAACTCTAATAAATTTATTATTGTCAATGAAGGGTGACAGAGGTAAAAGTCTGTTTTTACGAGATAATTTTTGGTTAGTGATGAGCAACTGATATTCCTCTTGAAAGGATTCCTGCTGAGCAAACCTTAACAGGAAATTAGTAGCGTTAGTAAGCTCAGCAATTGTTACGTTACCGCTTATTCTCTTTGATTTATAGCGACAGTTATTTATAAATCTAAATATAAACGAAGTAATACGTTGTAATTTTGAAAATATGGAAATTTTTGTGATTAATTTTAAAATTATATTATTTTCTTTAACCAAGTGAAGGTATTTAATCATTTCTGGTAAATTAGAAGGATATAATTCCTGCTTAGGTGGTACTGGACAATTTGCTGGATTTAATTGAAGGAAGGAAGGTCCTGACCACCACAAAGATGATTTACTTAGCATATCAGCTCTCAAACCTCGTGAAACAAGATCTGCGGGATTGTCCTTTGAGGGTACATAGCGCCATTTATGGTTAGAAAAACCTTCCTGTTTCTCTGAAACACGATGACGCACAAACTGCTTCAGTTGGCTTGAAGTAGTTCTGAGCCAAATATAACCACAATATACACTTATTAATGGTAAGTGTTATAGATTCTAATACCTCGATGCCAAGCCTCGCTCCCAGTAATACACTGCAAAGCTGTAATCGAGGAATACTGATCGTTTTCAATGGGGCTACCTTGCCCTTGGAAGTAAGAATACCATAGACCACATACATACCCTGCGGCAAATTGTACAGAAGACCGAAGAGTACAATCTGCCACTTTGAGAAAGCCTTTGATTCCGTCGAAATTTGGGCGCTGCTACAGTTCCTTCAGCGGTGCCAAGTTGACTGTTGGTATATCGAAGAGGTTATGCTCGAAGTTGTTGACGAGTACGTTTACCTGGGACAAATAGTCCGACTAATTCAACGACGGATTCAACTCGGCTAAGCGTTCGGGAAATTACGACACATCTTCTCGTCAGGTATACCTCAATCTCTAAAGTGTATATCTAGTGCGTGTTGCCAGTGATGACTTACGCATCTGAGACGTGGTCCTTCACTGCTGGGCGTATGAGGACGCTCAAGGTCCCTCAGCGAGCTATGGAGAGGGCTATGCTCGGAGTTTCTCTGCGTGATATACTCAGAAATGAGGATATCCGCAGTAAAACCAGAGTGACCAACATAGCTCAACGGATTAGTAAGCTGAAGTGGCAAAGGGCCGTCCATATAGCTCGAAGAACCGATAACCGATGGGGAAGAAAGGTTCTCGAGTGGCAGCCTCGTAACGGTAGGCGTAGTATAGGGTGGTGGGGGGGCCACTAGATGGAGTGACGACCTGGTAAGACAGTAGAAAGTCGATGGATGCAGGTGGCTCAGGACCGTGCTTTGTGGCATTACTTGGGGGAGGCCTATGTTCAGCAGTGTGCTTGTGAAGGGCTGTAATGATGACGTTTGTGTGAGTGTGACATTGCATCAGAGCAGACCGCAGCCAGGTGTCTTGCGAAGGAAGTGAAAGCTTGCTATGGCTTTGGATCAAGGCACGACCAGCGGACACAAGAGAGTAGTATTGTAACTCGAAGGCCTCGCGCTCCTTAAGTTCGTCCTCGGGCATATCCAACAACTGCTCCATTTCTCTCTGAAAACCGTCGAAATCATAATGTAAATTTTCAATTTTATCTAAACGCATCTGAAGCTCAATTTGAACTTGCAATTCATTGATTTCTTTAATATTTTGAATTGATTTTAAATAACTATTAAAGTTAGTAAGCTTTCCTTTAATTGTAGCTCTTTTTTTTAATTAACTCTTTTATTTGTTTTTCACTCATTGTTAATTTTTTATTTTAATTAATTATTAAAAAAAGGAAAACAAAAAGCAAGCAACTTTGCTTTTATTAGATTTTAAATTAGACCTTAATCAGCCCCTTATCCCTTTAAATCAAATTAAAGTAAATAATAATATCGTCCCCGTAGAGCGAAGTCATTACTAAAAATGGCTAAAATGACTTATCAATGTCACTAAAATCAACATTTTGTTTGCTAAATATCTCTCTTAACGTCATTTTTGTAGCTGCCCACGCTTTTGTTTTACGAAATGTGAAATGTAAGTAAGTCTACCCTTTGGATCTCAAAGCGTAATGGGAGAAATAACTAATTTAGTAAATTATTATACATTTATCGAAAATTTACATCACCCGAAATTAAAACGACTTAATTAGTTTTTTTCTTGTATAATCAATTCATACGTAAAATTTTAGATAGTCTAAAAGTCACTAAAATTAGTAAGTTTTCAAAGTCAGTAGTTTGCTAAAACACACAAAAGCGATAATTAACTAACTCGACTTAGTGACTATTCACTCTTTTTTTTAAATGATTTGTACAATACTACAAAAGCGAAAAATCATAAATCCGTTTTAATGTTTTATTTTATTTTAAAAATGGAACATAAGATCTATTGGGAATAATAATTAAAGTCTTTTAAATATTATTTATACAACTGCGACGTACATTGTTACAATTAACGTACATTTCGCCCACGAGTTAGTGAGTTTGTCGCGGCTACAGTGACGAGCGCTGCGTGTGACGATTCATTCGCGAAGTTGAAGTCGACTGAAATAAACACGTTTTTCGTTGTTGTTAAAAATTACGTAAACAACGCACTGTGTAACAATGAGTCATGCTAAGTTGATTATTGATTTATTGAATCAAAATGAAAAAAACTGTTGTAGAGGTAAGTGTGGTAAATATATTTTTATTTAGTTTGTAAGTATCTTTTAGATGTGTATCGTATTTTAAAAGTGTTTCACTTTTATTAATATACGTTTTTTACATACATAAATATTATAATAATGTTATTTTATAGGAATCTGCTGTCCCTATAGATTTCGTGAAGTGATTATGATACGTATTATTTGGGTGTTGCTTACCTATTTATTTGACTCTTGGATTACTTGCCTTGTTGTGTGGTTTTTTTAATGCTTGACTTAAAATCAAGTAGCTTCAGAAATTATTAATTAATTATTATTTTCTCGCACCCCGTAATAGAGGTGCTAGGTTGTGTCACTAGGTGTACCTATTGTATTTATAAGGATACTTGCTGGCATTGGTTTGTTTAGTCTAACATGTGGATATTATTTTATTATTTTTATAGTATCAGTATTTATCATGCCTAACATTCTCCTAATTGTTTATTTCAGGAATCTAAGCTGCTCGACCAGAGGAAATATGATCTGTTCCAAAACAATAATCTATATGAATCAGCTCCACAATCTGCGTCAATAGTAAGTCCAAAAAGAGATCTACCAAGTATCAATCCACCATACTCCGCTCCTTTATTGGCTGAAACCTACCATGATATTGTTTCCGTTGAGAATTTGATTAGAGAAGAAAATGTATCATGTAAAACACACCAAAACTACACCGAAATTAAAAAGTCTCGTGAAAGTCCACATTCAGAAATAAGCGGTATCGAAGAGTTGAGTTTTTTTCCTGTTCGAGTGTTTTCTGATTCGAGCGTTTCATGTTTTCCAGATAGTGAAGAGGATAGATGTTTCGAAAAGAAAAGACGAGTGTATGTTGCAAAATGTTCTAGTGAGAGCGATAGTGAAGAAAGTACATTTATTGCTATAAATATATTGCAGTTAATAAACGCGATGGAATCCGTAAATTTAGTTTTATTCAATGTGTAGTGTTCGCGTAAATTTAAGAAATCATTACATTTATTGCGTCGCGCTGAAAGACAGCAGAAAGTCGGGGGCTTTTTAATGAATGTTTTCAGGATATAAACATTAACAATGACTTTCAATCAAGAAATAAACAATATTCCGTGCTTCAACAATCTACTTTACCATCTTCCAACTCTGATTCATCTGGTAATGTCACTGTAGAAAATCAAGAATTAACTGAACAGCCAGTTCCAATCGTTGTTACTTCAAACAATATTATTGAACCTACACGTTGGATAAAAAAGCGATCCTAGCAAGTGGAAAAAAACATAGCTAAATCTAATAACCAAAAAGGTTTGCCTTATTTGGGTAAAAAGGGCTATCTCATGCCTGCAAAGAAACCTAAGCCCGTAAAGTGCTACGTAAAATGCCGGTATCAGTGCCAAAATCATTTTTCTGAGGATGAAAGACGAAAAATGTGTGAAGCCTACTGGAAAATCACAAATTTCAATGCATAAAAACAATTTTTACTTCAAAAAGTGGTGGCCCAGCCTATAAAAACAATGAAAGTTGGTATACCTGCTAAAAAAACCGAACTGCTACCAATTCTTATTATTTTAATAAAAATGATAATAAAATACGAGTCTGCAAAGATTTTTTTCTAAAAACTCTAAACATTTCAAATGGACCGGTAAATGAAGCATTGAAATATAGAGATGAGTTGGATAAAGATACAGGGAAGGATGGGCGTGGTTCTCGAGTCCCAGTAAACAAAACCAGCTTAGAGTCTGAACAGAAATCATTGACCACATAAAATCTTTTCCCCGGCTCGAATCTCACTACTACAGGAAGAAAAGTAAGCGACAGTACCTGGAGAGCAAACTGACAATCACTTAAATGTACGAATTGTATAAAGAGCAACTAACAATATTAAATGTAGAACCATGTTCTTTTTACGTCTATAAAACAATATTTGGGTCTAAATTCAATTTGTCATTTTTTACCCCAAAAAAAAAAAGACTCATGCATAACAAGCACTCGTTATGATAGTGCCGGACGTCCAAAACATTTGAAGGAGGAATATGATTCACATATTGCAAGAAAAAATGAAGCACAGCAGGCGAAAGAATCGGACAAACAGCGGTCTATTATTGATGACAATTACCTAGTCGTAACGGCAGACATGCAGTCTACTTTGCATATACCAGTCAGTGGTATTTTATATTACACCAGAAAATTAAACATACAAAATTATACAATTCACACGTCTAAACCACCTCATAAAGCATTTTGTATAACTTGGAATGAGATTAATAGTAAAAAGAGGCAGTGTGGAAATTGCCAGTGCAATTAACTGGTGGATTAGTCAGATACCAACCAATATTAAAGAAATTACCATGTATAGCGACATGTGCGCTGGGCAAAGTAGAAACCAATTTATCACGGCATTTTTGGTTCATTTGATTCAAAGGATGGATGGGCAGCTGAAAGTTATTGAGCAAAAATATTTAGAGAGTGGTCACACTCATATGGAAGTGGACTCCATGCATAGTGCAATAGAAAGACAGCAAAGACATACGCCTGTTTATTCCATGATTGACTGGAAGTCGATCATGGAACGTGCTCGCTCTAAAAGAAACAGGGATTCAGCACCACCTTATACAGTTAAAGAATTAAAATACACGGAAATGGTTGATGTAAGAGCTCTTAATGAAAAAATAGCAAAAAATACAAGCAGAGATAAAGAAGGCAATAAAATTACATGGCTAAAAATTAAGTGTCTTCGTTTCGAGAGAAAAAAGCCCGGGTCTTGTTAAGTTTAGATATCAACATGATGGTCTCTACCTAGAATTTAATATTTTAGAATGTCCGACAAAATCTACATTTATTACTAGAAAGAGGAGGAAACTAGAAGAACAAACGGATGGACAAGGGACAGAAGAACTAACGCAAGTATTGAATAATTACAAAATTCTACCAGCTTACTCCTCGCCGCTGCCTATTTCAGAGGCAAAAAAGAAAGACCTCAATATTTTATGTGCAAGGGGGATAATTCCATAAGAGCTCCACTTGTGGTATCAGTTTTTACCAACAAGCAAAGACGTCGTAGACAGAATTTTGGAGCCAGACGTCACTGAGGAGGGAGAAGAAGAAGTAGTCGACCTAAATCTATTTATTTAATAACTATGTTCTACTAGTTCTATCACTTTTCCGTTTGTGTGCATGGGATTTGTTGCACTTTTTGTTTTTATTTAACGCTAATAGTATTTTGTTAATTTCGGTTGATATTTTCGAATAATTGCTTCAATAAATCTCGATTGAATTTATTACAATAGTTGCATTATTATTTAATCATGTTATATTTAAGATAAAACTTAACATACAAGCTTCGAATATTCAGTTAAGTAGTATTTACAATACATATTTTGTACAGCTAATAGTAAGTTCGACTTTACATAAGTGTAGTTAATTTTCTTCAAAATAATTTAGAAAACGACAAGTCACTAACTACGTTCGAAAATTAACTAATTCGCAACTAAATCACAGCTTTGATAGAAAACAATTAGTTAAATATTTTCAGCTTTTCTCAATTATTAGAGATTTTTCACGTGTTTTATCTCTTATAGTATATTATATATTTTATTTCCTTCAAATTAAAGCTAAAATCGTAAAGATATATGAAGGCAAACCAATGTTATAACGATTTTTATTGTCAAAAACTTTAAAATCTCATTATCTCGAAACACGATTTTTCGATTTAATGACTTTTCGCTCTACGGGGACGATATATGAATGGAAATTAAAGTAAGGAATAATATATGACGCCTGATAAAAAAATACAACAAATATTTTGCAACTAAATTGCCAGGCGCTCAATATTCCAACAATGTACACTTTTATTTTCATAATATCGATCTGTAAGAAGAATTGTAATGGTTAGAAGTTTGTAATATAATAATTTTAATACTTGTAATGAATAAAAAAGGCGATATGTAAGCTATTATTATAATGATTTAAGACTTTAAAGGTTATAAAAGGAATTGTGATGAATTTACTTAGATGTTTTATTAATATAAATTTATGAAGTAAAAAATGATAAAAAAGAATAAAGTTATTCTTATTTCTATGATATATTAATAATATATATATATATAATATAAAAATATTACTACACATAAATATTACTTTCACTTTGACTTTTATTATTAACGAGAATAAACACAAAGGGATGATTAATCTAAATACAGTTAAAATAATGACGTGGATGAAATTATAAGATGTAAGAACACAAGAAATGAGTAAAATTTATATATATAAATAGAATGAGTAATAATGAATATATAGGGAAGGAAATGGAACGATCTCACGTATCCTTGATGTGGGATGATCGAAGCTTCCGGAAGATGTCGGGCGTCTTAAGACCTGTGCACCTGTGACAATTATAATGCAACTTTCCTTTGTCGATTAAGCGTTGATGTTAATGCCCGGGAGTGTCAACTATGCAGCATTGTTCACTCCGGTGGAACAATTCAACTTGAAGACGGCGTAGGAAAGGTGTGCACGTAGTGACTTTCGAATGACATCTGACGTGATTCAATTATTCTTAAGGATCAAAGGACCATATGATGGGGAGAGTGCCCGGTACACCTTGTGGTAGGGAGTACTGCCTACCCTGATGAGAATAAATTAAAGTTAGACTGTACTGAATTACTTTTATTCGTGCTACAGAGGTAACCCGACAATGTAACCGCGCGATCGTTAACTTAAACTGAGTCGTTCTTTGCGACCAGCGAACCACTACCGTATCCTCCGTACCACTACCCCCTCCTGCCGCTGCTAAAACTACGTAAGGCCTGTTCATGCAGTGATGTGACGCATGTTCATGCAGTGATGTCTCGCAAAACCTTGTCTTCACCACATATAGTTAAAAAATGTATGTAAATCATTATTTAAGTTGTCGCTACGCGAACCGATTGAACGTGGTTGAAGTTACGAATCGGCGGTACATGGAAAAACTTTTGTATGTTTATTTGTACTGTTGGATCTTATTTAATAACTATATTTTGTAAAAAATAAATAAATAAAAATAAATATTTAATATAGCTAGCCTGGAGATGGCGGGGTCTATTCACTCGCTTCACTCGCTCATTCGTCCCCGCCATCTCCTTCTAACCTAACCTGTCTGAGTCGGGATGCCCTAAGTCCCGAGCTCGCATCGCTCGATCTTACACTCAATAAAAACCAAAATAAAAATTAATAAACAAACATTTTTATGTTTTTTTATTTAAAATGTTTGTTTTATTGTGTAGATAACGAAAAAAATATAACAACTTCATTCGATTATTTAAAAAAATAAGTTATGAACAATTATACGCGAATGAGTGCATTTTCATGAACATTTAAAGCCTTGAAACCAATATAATTTTTTTATTCTTTTAAATTTTTCATAAATCCGCTGCAATAATGAAGATTTAAAAAAAATAGTCGATATTGGATAATTGTTCGATTTTCGAAACGAGGTAACCGCGATTGTATAAAATTATCAAAAAAAAAATTAACAAATTCTTTTCAAACGATCAGAAATAAACTAATATTATTTTCATTTTTAGGTATTTGTACTCATCCATTTGTGACGCAATAGCTTAAGCAATGAGATATAGCGCTCAGGGTTACGGGCTCGAATCCCGCACGGAACAAGTATTTGTATGGCCTACAAGTAATTATTCCGGGTCTGGATTTTTGTCCTTGTGCAATTTATGTATGTAAACTGCCTCCACGATACAGGAGAAAATGCTAGTGTGGGTAACGTTTTATAAAAAATAAGAACGCATTATCATAAAAACTATTCTCTTTTACCTGACTCGTTAATAAATTTTTTTATCAACTTTATTTCGTTAAAAAAATCCAAAATCCAACGTCTTATAATTTAGCATTTACTCAGGTCACACCCTAAAGTCCAAGACGTATAAGTACATTTATGTATAAATCGTACGTACTTTTTGCGAACCAATATACTGTAATAAAAATCTGTGATTAAAAAAAAGAATATCTTATTTGGTTAAGTATGTATCAAATTTGGTTTTTGAAATATTTTGTATTTCTATAGCGATCGACATTTTCATCACGAACCACTTTAAACAAACGATACAGCAACCCTCACGACGGCGGCCGACCCGCAGTGAGTCAAAGTGGATCTGTATTTTGCAAAATATTTTATTAGAAGACTGTCGAAACACCCGAAATTTCGGAATTTCTCAGCCGAAAAAAATAAATATAACTAATCAAAACAAAATTAAACAGCCATTTACATTTTATGGCTTTCCACGTGATAGATGAAGATTAAAAAATAGATTGAATTTAACATTTGATTTGATTTGACAAAAAAGGTTCAAAATGTAATGTCAAAGACTATAGGCCCATAGCTCTTTTATCTAACTTCTCGAAAATATTTTTGAAAGAGTCATCTACAATAGACTTATAGAGTTTTTCAATAAATATAGTATAATAAGTAAAAATCAATTTGGCTTTCAGAAAAATAAATCCACTATACTTGCGATCTATGAAATACTCAAGAAATTTGGGAATCATTGAATAATAAAACTTCTTGTTTTTAGATACGTCAAGGGCATTTGACTGTGTCATATATGATATACTATTAAATAAACTTGACAAATTAGGTGTACGTGGCTTGACATTGGAACTATTAAAAAGCTATTTAAAAGATAGAGTGCAAATAACAGCAATTGAAAAATTTGACAAAGTCAGTAAAACTTTTGAAGAAGTACGGTCCAAGCCAGTTAAAATGACACTAGGTTTGCCATAAGGAAGTATTTTAGGCCCCTTGTTATTCTTAATTTATGTGAATGACTTGTCAAATATCATTGACAATAGATGTGTTATGTTCGCTCATGATGCAACTATCTTTATACCTGATACTCAAGTGAATTTTGAAAATAATATAAATAAAACTTTAAAAATAACAGTTGAATGGCTTAAACAAATAAATTTAAACGTTAATCTTACAAAAACTAAAATAATTCAATTCATAAATTACAAAATAAATTCTTTAAATTTAAATATATCAGATAAAGACACTCCAATAGAAATAGTTAATAACATTAAATTTCTTGGAGTCACCATAGACTGTCATTTAAATTGGAAATCTCATATTGAAAAAATAAACAAAAAAATCTCTAGCTACAGTTACGCATTATCCATATTAGCAGAAAAGGCCTACAAACGTGCAGTCAACGTTTATTCTGCAAAAGCGATATCTGCGGATCATTTATAATATGTACTCAGATGAAACTCTAAGAAATGTATTCGAAGAAAAAGGCATTTACATTCTCACTAATATTTTAGAAATATCACTTTTTATCAAACAGAATGGCAACTATTTTCAGATTAAATCTAACAGGAATTCACGTCCAATACGCACTAAATATAGGCATAATTTATGTATTCCTACAATAAATAGAGCCGTGGTAGCTCAGATGGTTAACGATCGCTGTAAATATAACAGAATGCGAGTAACCCGGGTTCGATCCCCGCCGGCACCAATGAAATTGTTAAATGCAATTTTAAGTGCTGATTTACCACGTGCTCGGCGGTGAAGGAAAACATCGTGAGGAAACCTGCATGTCTGAGGAATAAGAAAAAATATTTCGAAGACATGTGAAGTTCGCCAACACGCATTGGGGCAGCGCGGCGGACACTCCCTTGCCCTAAAACCCTCTCAGAAATGAGGGGAGGCCTGTGCCCAGCAGTGGGACGTATATAGGCTGTAACTTTACTTTTTACTTTACTTTACAATAAA